TTCCGGGCCTAGTCTCGGTTTAGGGTTTGGGGTTTAGGGCTCTTAGGCTTTTGGGGTTTTGGGGCTTAGGGCTTTTAGGGGTTTAGGGTTTTGGGTTCAGGGTTCATGGGAGTATGCCCTGCGCACCGAATATAGGGGCCCAAGTCGGGCCCAAGCAATTATCAAGTCTATTCCTCCGGGTTCTTCATTATAAGTAACTCATTTATCTGTGAGTCCCTAGTACACAACATAGTAATATACCCCCAGATAAAAAAAAAACAAAGACATTCGACGTACGATTTATAAGAGTCCCCAGACTCTTAAAGATTCTCGGCGGGGTTGGGGCAATTCGCTTCTCAGGCCCTCGATTCCACGCACTTCATCCCACGCCGTCAAAAACATTGGGTTGAGGGTTTAGGATTCAGGGTTCGGGTTCAGGGTTTAGTGTCTAGGATTTAGGAAATTTAGGGTTAGTGCCGCAGCGACACTGTTCGAGGAGTGCGTCGTGCATTGTCCAAGAGCCAGCAAACCTAGCACCCTCCACGTATTAAGGCTCCTTTACTCGGCCATAAGGGAGTTTCCGAAAATCAGGGTACCTTATTCTGGGGTCCTTATAATAAGGATCCTACTATTCAGGGTACTATATTAGGGTCCCTTATATTCGGAAACCCCCATAAAGCGCCAAAATGAAGTATTGAAACTAATCCCCTGGTAGGGATATTGCTTAACAACAAGTTTATGTTGACTTGCCTTTTTGGGCTCGTATTTCACGCCCCTATATGTTCGAGCCCTGGTGGACCCTTATAGAACTCGGTCTTTCAAGGAACCCACTGAAAGCCACCAGACGTTAACTCCTAGGCTTTCAAGCCCCAGATCCTAAAGCCCAAGCCCTAAAAAAGCCCATGCCCTAAACTAAACCCTAAACCCTAAACCCTAAACCCTAAACCCTAAACCGTCTTACCCGGACCTGCGGAAAAAATCGAAGGAGGGAGACGAAGCCTCGCCCAGCGACGGAGTTTGGGGCCCCCAGCCGGGTTTCGCGTTGAGGGTTCAGGGTTCAGGGTTTCGGGTTTAGCCTTTTTGGGCTTTAAAGAGAGCACAAGCCCCGGGTTTCATCCGGGTGGTTATGAGGTTTTATACGGTTTTTGTTGGGTTTTTATGGTGTTTCTTTTGCAGGGTTCCATGCCTTCTATCTGTTTGGGTTGTTTTTTTAAGGCTTGGGCTTGCATTGGGTCAGCTCGAGGCCCTTTTTTTGACACGCGTCTGTTTTGCTGGAAAGGCGCAGCACGCTCTAACGCTCGTAGGGTTCGAAGCTCCTAAACCCCAAGCCCTAGGACCTGGAATCCTAAAGCACTTTTCCCAAAACCTTAAAACCCCAAAGCTCCTAAACCCGAAGCCCTAAGACCTTGAACCCTAAAACCCCTTTCCCAAAGCCTTAAAACCCCAAAGCCCCGAAACCCTAGGCTTGAAATGGGTGTGTTCAGGTTTAGAGACTCTGGCGGCTCCTTTCAGAGGCTCCGAAGCCCTGAAACCCTACACTCTACGGGTAAATCCCGAAAGACACCAAAGCCGCCAATCCAAACACCGTAAACTTAAAACCCTGAGTCCAAAAATCCTTGGATGTAGCATCGAAAGGGGAAAAAACCCTTCTAAAGCTCTTGCCGAGGCGGCGAAGAAGACGAAGAAGAAGGCCATGGCTGACCGGTTTCCTTCTTTTTGTTTGGGCGTTTTGGGCTTTGAGGTCTTTCTGGTTTGGGATTGAAGTTTAGGGTTCGTTTTGGGGTTCTTAGGGATGGTGGCTGCAGAAGAGGGTCGATGCTGGTGCAGACGATGGGTGCTGATGATGATGCAGCATATGATGATGATGATGATGGTGATGATGATGATGATGGTGATGGTGACGATGATACTTTTGACGCTGCTGATTAAGACGTCGATGGACACGAGTGTTATCATAAAAACGAGGCTGAAGCAGTGATGCTGGTGTTCATGTTGGCTACTATGGTCGTGACGGTGACGACAAGGGCGATGATGATGCTGAAGATGACGACGATAAGCACATGAGGTTTGCTTCTAAACGTTTGAGGTTAGTACGTTCTAGTGTTCGCATTTCCTGTGTTTCCTTGAGCAATAGTCCCCATGCCCGTATTCAAAGGCTTGCTGTTGCTGCCAATGTAAGTGTGTAGAATGCTAACGTGGATGCCCAATCATTCTGGCAGGACGGCGATGCGGCCAAGGGCGAGAAGACCACGACAAAGAAGAAGAAGGCGCCTTCGGCAAACTCCGAAACCCGCATCAGGTTTCTCTGCAGCTTTCAACATCAGGTACTCAATCATCCGGTCTTAGTGTCTACACATAAATATGTAGATAGATCGATAGATAGATAGAATCTGATGATATGTGTTTAGATAAACGGTAAGAGATATAGGTAATTAGATAGTCATATATGTAGTATGTGTGTATAGTATATATATATATATTGTATGTATATATGTATATATGTATGTATATATATATATAGATATACATCTATCTATCTATCTATATATATATATATAGATAGATAGATATACAGATATAGATATATTATAAAGACATACAGATATATAGATCATGATATGCATATGCCCTCCCTCCCTCTCTTTCTCTCTCTCTCTCTAGATATTTACATGTTTTTTTTAAAAGATGTGTCTGTGTACCTATACGTGCAAACATGTATACCTATACGTGCACACATAGAATAAATGGCTTTTCGGCCCGTGAGCGTATAACCCTAACCCCTAAACCCTAAACCCTACCCTAAACCCTTAAACAGCGTGCATCGCCAGCATTCTGCTCGATTGGCTTGCCAGGCCAAGGCAGACACCGGACTGGGCGAGAGGGGCATGATGGAGGTCGGGGGGCCGAGGGCTACCAGAAGGTCTCAAGGTTCCTCTAAGGGCTTGGGGTGTAGGGTCTAGAGTCTAGGGACATCAAGGGCTGTTAGGGTTCTCATACGGATCTAGGATTTAAAGGTTTCGTAGGGTCTGCTGCAAGGGTCTCGCAGGGTGTGCGAAGAGCTTAGGACGAAGGCTGAGGTGGCTTCAGATTTCCTAGGGTTCTACTGGTTTTGGGTTTCGGGATTCAGGGTTCTGTCATTGAGGATGTTAGGATTTGAGGGTGTTAGGGTTGTCCCTAGTCTGGGATAAACCCCAAGCCCTAAACCCTAAAACGCACTAAAACCCCCAAGCCTCAACTCCGCAAACCCCGAAAGCCTAAACCAGTAATCCTTGTGTTCGCTAGGCCGTGGCTGCTGACATCGACACGCCAATCACCGTCCAGGCAAGCTTTTGCACATGTTTGTGCAAGAGTGGCTCATTTTGGCATTCCGAGCTACAATACAAATCCTCAAGACTTCAACTTCCAAGCAGGGCCGAGATCCTACCGAGCACCCGCAGCCCTAATTTTGAGTTGGAGGGTTGGTGGTGGTGGTGATAGCAGTAGCAGCAGCAAGCAGTAGATGTAGCAACGGCAGCTGAAGCAATGGCAACCACAACTTCTCAAGACAGAGCACATGAAGCAATGCCAAGGGCAACAATGGCTATGGTGACAGTATGGGCGCTGGGGGCACTAGCTGTGGTCTTGGCGCTGTGTAGGATTTCCCCATGTGATGCATGTGGAGCACCCAGAGGACGATTAGTCGCCTACGCCCAATGCCCTGAACCTTAAACCATAAACCCTTAAACCCTAAACCCTAAACCCTAAAGGGTTTAGGGTTTAGAGTTTAGGGAAGAACCCGCCATCGTGCGGCCCTCCATGAAGAAGCCCCAGTTGAGAAGGAAGCCCACAAAAAGTTCGGGGCCGGCATCCTCGGATGTAGGGCAGGGGCCTGGCTGGTTGGAATGCCAGGGTTTTGCAATTCCAAATGCAAGTGCAGTCGAAGTACGCGGATTCGGAGCTTTTGACTCTGGGGTTTCACTTTCGTTTCGGTATCTGATGGGGATGCCTGGCTAGACGTGATGGGCCACAGGAGCCGTCGGAGAAGAAGGAAGAGGTGCGTGGGGGCGGGTTGCCGGAACCATGCAGGCGTAGTTAACGTTTCCCAAGACTCCGAACTCTTGAACCTTAAACCGCGAATCGTTTTACCCTACACCCTAACAGTCCTAAACTACTAAACTACAGGCCTTACCAACACCACCGGCCCTGCCGAAACTCCACAACCCTACAGCCCCTGCAGGCCCACGCCATATCCCCCAAAGCCAACAGCAGCACAGTAGACTTCAAGCACCCCAAACCCTAAACCGTAAGCCGCAGAATCGATTCGTTCCAGCACGGATAAGCGATTCTCAGTTTCTGCGACCGACGGCCTCGACTAAGAAGGGTCGTCTTATGGGTTAATGATAGTTTGTAAATGCAGCATACATACAGAGAGAGAGAGAGAGATAGATAGATAGATAGATAGATAGATAGATAGATAGAAAGATAGAAAGATAGATAGATAGATAGATAGATATACACACATTGATATGTTTATACACATGAAAATGCACATAAACGCGTGTGTATGTTTATACACACAAACACATACAGCTTCGGACTTCGACGAGGTTGTGGTGCGATTCGCGTGCTCCGGTTGCTTTCCATTCACATCTTGCGATCCTCTTGTATCGTTACCTGTGCACTCGTTACAACCTGTAACCCTGGTCAGTCAAACTGTATGTGTGAGTCGCCTTGGAGATCGACTTGCGCTGCATAAACAGATGGTGCTATGGTGTCACAGCTTTCGCGCACTTGGATTGGTACGGGGCCGTGTGCATGTGCCTACCTGCATAGGAAACTGCGCAAAAACATCTAGCGACGACGACAAGCGAATGCAGTTGTAGAGATCTGCCGGTCGACGCCAAAGGCATGTAGAATCCTCGAAGTGGAATCTGCAGATACATCTCTAAAGCAGTGCAGGCCTCCTCTAAACCAGAAACCTACAAACTTGAACCCTGAGCCGTAAATCTTAAACCAGGAGGTGCCCTTGCATGTCTCCGCAGGTCGTGCAGCCCGCTGGTCCCAGTGACGAGGAGCTTGCGAAAGCCGCCGAGATGAAGAAGGCGCCAAAGAGAAGTTGAGGATTTGGGCGTTATACCTTACCATAGCTTCCAAAAGTGAACCCTACAGCAAGTACAATGCAGTTGTAAGATCGTATCGTAACTATAGTTTAGTATGGTATATTATAGTAACCCTAAAACCGCAAAAGAAGTCGCCCTGAGGCCAAGGAGAAGGCCTCGGTGGAGTTGAAAGACGCCTCGACTGCCGGAGACGTGAAGAGGCGTGCTCGATGTCCTGTTGTGTCTGTCAGATAGTCAGAGTTTCGGTTTCAGGATATGAGTACAGCTGCTTGCTATGGAGAAATCGCATTGAGTCTTATTCAATTGTATGGAACCGTATTGAACTTCAGAAGACATTGTTACACTTGTGGCAGGATCCGGAAAAGTCTTCTTGAATCTTTTCACATCCCTGGAAGGATCAGACATTCGCCATGTCTGTCTGTCTGTCTGTCTG